TGCAGCGCTGCGGGTCCCTACCCAGCAGCACCCCAGCTGCTCTGTCCCAGGCATCCAGATTCAGCCGCTATTGAAACTGATCAGCGACTGATTCCAAGAAGCCCGGGGCAGAGCAACTCTGCCTCGGGTTTCCTGTAGTCAGCCGCTGGTCAGTTTCAGCAGCGGCTGAATCTGGATGCCAGTTCCGACTTACATACAAATTCAACTTAAGAACAAACCTACAGTCCCTATCTTGTACATAACCCGGGGACTGCCTGTAATAGTCATTAACACATTCTTATGATATAGCTGCAGTGCGACAGACAGATATATAATTACACAGTAAATAATCGTATTAATCGAATATTATCAAGCATTCAGAAGTTAGGAAATGCCAGAATTAAGCTTGCCTACACAACCATAATTCATGCAAATGCATTATCACACAATTTTTAGTCACCTGATCTGGTCACCTGACACATTTTCCACAGGACTCTCGCCTCATTGAGTGTACAAAATAGATGGTGCTCATTTAATCAGTAGCTATTCAATACTGTCTTTTCTCCCCAGTGTTCAATGTATGCACACTATTCAGACCTTGTTCTGAAGAGAGAATTATTAATTTCCTTATGGACTTTACTGTGGTGTTCAGCACTACTGTATTTGAGTGCTTCACAAACATACATTTATTTTCACAACACCCTTGTGAGATGGGGCGAGGGCAGTTGTGAAATCTCCATTCACAAACATACATTTATTTTCACAACGCCCCTGTGAGATGGGGTGGGGGCAGTTGTGAAATCTCCATTTTTACAGATGAAGAATGAGACATGAAGACATTAAGGACAAAAGTACCCTTTAATTTTGGGTACCCAATTTGAGCCTCTTATTACATAATTTTTATGCAGTATTTAGCATTTTATATGTTTAAATCAGAGCTCCCATTGACTTCATTTGCGGCTGCAGGATTCTCAGCATATCTGCAAATCTCACTCTAAAGTCTGAAGCCAGGCTCAGAAAAATGAAAAACACACCATTAGTGACCATCTGTGAGACGTTCTTTGGCATCACATAAGAACTCTAGGGCAGAGATAGGGGTAGAATCCAATTCCTTGGGGTATTATTCAGCTGCCTTAACCACAAGACCATCATTTCTCTTCCTGAAATCCCCTGCCCTGTTCACTACACATCTTTCAATTTCTGCAACAAATAAAGCAGGCCTTCTATAAACAGTGGTTGTCTTCATCATACAAATATGATTTATCTCCAGAGCAGTTCCGTCCTGTGCACTGAAAGAGGCAGACATCCTGTGGAAAAATAGTATTTTAAAAATCTATACGATTAGATACACGTACTTGCTTACATTTCAAAACATCATTAAAAGTTTGGGAAAGTTTTATAAACTACTGAAAAAATGGGGTCTTATAATGGGAAGCATTGGGTAGTTTTAGTTATAATAGTGGTGCTACCAATCAATCTATAATAAACATTTTATGGTAATTTTTTCTTATGTTAAGACTGACTTTTGTCCTTTATTATTATGGGTTGTAAATACTACTGATTATCCACATAACTCCTTTTGCTTTTTCTGGTTATGCAGACTGCCTCATTAAGGACCAAGTTCCTCTGACCCCATGGTTTCTATTCCCCTCTAAGACTTTCCTATTTGAAGTCAGTGGAGAAAATTGTGCCACCAGTGTTATAGATAGGCAACAGGGGAAACTTGCAATAAAAAGATTCAAATACAAATATTTACTTGCTCGAGAAAAAGGGCATTACAGAAGGGGGTTGCAATAAAAAGATTCAAATACAAATATTTTCTTGCTCGAGAAAAAGGGCATTATTCTTTCCAAAAAGAGAGAGGGGAACCCTCTTTTACAGAAGCTAAGAGCTAGGAAGAGTTGCAATGGTACTTTGGACATGTGGATATGAACTGTCTACAGAAACATTTAGAGCAAAACAAACAAGTTTCCAGAGATAGCAGCTACTAACCACTTTTGAAGACAAGACATTTTGGCAACTGACATCATTAATCCTGTGTCAAAATAGATCCAGGAGGAAGAAAATGCCTTCTTTTTAGCACCCAACTCAACTATCTAAGTCTTGGGGTACATCTGTATTGCACGTTTATTTCTAAACAAACTATTCCGGAATCGTTATTCCAAAATAGCTTATTTTGAAATGGCACATCTACACTGAAGGGAAGCCTCAAAATTAGTCTGAGGCAGGCTTCCCTGATGTAGACTTGCTATCTCAATTTAGAGCCCCAGGAGACACTGGGAAGGAATGGCCCGGTGAGGGGCTGTTTTGAAATACAGGCAGTCCCCGGGTTACGTACAAGATAGGGACTGTAGGTTTGTTCTTAAGTTGAATCTGTATGTAAGTCGGAACTGGCGTCCAGATTCAGCCACTGCTGAAACTGACCAGCGGCTGACTACAGGAAGCCCGAGGCAGAGTTGCTCTGCCCTGCCGCGTAACTCGGGGACTGCCTGTACTTCATGTGGAGCCACAGACTTTCTTCTAGTAGGTTTGACTGATGTAGAAGTATTTTGTAAGGATTAAATTGTAATCAGGCTGGACATGGTATTAAATTGTTTCAGTTTGGCCCTACACATTACTACACTTTCTTATGTTCTTTCTTTTCAGTTAGAATAAAATGCAGAGAACTTGTAAAGAAAATTGCAATCTACAAAAATAGATTAGCAATCCAGCTTCCAGAAAAAATCCTGATTTATGAATTATATTCAGATGATTCCTCAGACATGCATTACCGTGTGAAGGAAAAGATAGCAAAGAAATTTGAATGCAATTTATTAGTTGTATGTTCAGATCACATTATCTTATGCCAGGTATGTACTTGAAAAATTAAACATAACTTTGATAAGAAAAGGGTTTAAAAGGGCTGGCAAAATAAGATTAGCATACTGAAAATACTGTAATGGATTAGGCAATTAAAATACAGCCACCTGAAAAAATATTCTAGTGGTCTGTTTATAATGTGCTATGGGATCTTTTGGGATAACAGGTGGTAGAAAAAGGGGATTTGATATTTTCTACTTGCTATCATGAATCTTTAAAAATATATTTTGTCTGCTAGAGTGATCTGACATGTATTTGGCAGTCTCTTGTATGTGCCTATTGAGGCAGGCATATCTGGATAGATGTGAATACACTTGAAAGTGGAATGAATTCCTGTTTACCAATGTGTATTATATTGTACATCACAGGTTTTTTTTTTTTTGTTTGTTTTTGTTTTAGGAGAAAAGACTACAATGCCTCTCATTTAGTGGTGTTAAAGAACGGGAGTGGCTGATGGAGTCTCTCATTCGTTACATTAAAGTAATTGGTGGCCCTTCTGGAAGAGAAGGCCTCTTAGTCGGTCTGAAGAATGGCCAGGTAATGCTTTGATTGATTTTTACCTTATTTATTTAAAAAAAAAAAGTACAAAGCAAAATCTATTTTACTGTGTTGAAGAGAACAGAAATACATAAAGCTGACCCCAGAAGTAGAAAAGACTTATAACCTGAAGTCTATGGACCCAAGCTAAGTTCAATCCTGAATCAGAAGACCCATTCATTTATATTTGTTGTCTGTGGGCTCACGTTCTTCCATTTTAGCTGCTCGTTTGTAGGTTACCCACAGAAGACAAAATTATTCCTCATTGCTTATGCTTCATAGATGGACCTCCAAAAAAGTGAATATACTGAAAAGGGTTCTCTACAGTTTACTGACAAATCCACAGTTGACTGCCCCAATAAGAAATGGACCTTTTGGAATTTGTTTTATAGCATATGATGAACAGGTGATTCACAGCATTCCAGTTTTTGTACAGGGGAGGAAGCCAGGATGGAGTGCTAGTTAAGTAATTTGTGGTGCTCCGAAAGTGTTGGTGGGTAAGGGAAGGAGTAGAAGGTGTGGGGCTCCAATTTTCACTGAGCTCCCCCCCCCCCCACCATACATCTCCCATCCCCACCTGTCAGCCCATGAACTTGTTTCCCATGCATCCCCGAGGCGATTAACCCCCCGCCCCCCCAACCTGGGACTCCTAACGCCAACATCAGAAGTTCAGCACGGCTATGTTGGCTTGCAGCTGCTAGCTCTGAAACTGGAAGTCTGTGGCCCAGGGGAGGTGCAAGTAGAGTTGTCCCATCCATAAGAGGGTTTGGCATGGCAGCCCTCCCAACTGTCCCATGTACTGGATGGTTCCTTATACTCAGGTTAACCCACAGGGCCCTGGGCAGGCTGGGACCAACCGCAGGGGCTTCTCCCCACTCCCACAATCACCACAACAGCAGGAGCCATGGGGAAAGATAGCTACACAGCAGCCTGCTACCTGCTCCACTTCACCACCATCTCCCAAGACAGCCCATGCTGGGGCAGGAGCACTCTGTTTTCCACCACGATGCAGAGCACCATCTCCCAAGACAGCCCATGCTGGGGTAAGAGCACTCTGCTTTCCACCCCGATGCAGAGTGACTAGGCTGACCTGGGAGATGGCGGTGGAGCAGAGCAGAGGCTGCTCTGGCTGTGAGTTTGAGACCCCTGTTGTACAGGGTTATTTTATTGACAAAAATAAGTTTTTATTATTGTCTCTGCAGAACTAAATCAGCTAGAAAAGGGTGAGCTGGATTTCAGTAACAAAATGGGCATCCACATTCCAACTGTAGAATCCTTATTGTTGCTGACAGTGTACAAAGCATTTTCTCTGCTGGATTCAAACGTTATACTCTATTGACAGATCTGGCCCAGAAGGAGCCCAATGTGGCTTTTTGGATGTTTCAGCGTCTCCACACTGTCATTTAGGGGAGGGGATATTTTTACTTGTAGCCTGAACAATTTGACACAGATGTAACTGAGAAAGAGAGAACAAATATAGAACTTAGCCGTGTCAGAGAACCATAGGAGTTGGCGATACTACTTTATCTAGTTCATCTTGCCAAGGCAGAGTTATTCTGTAAAATACATTTATTAGTATAGTTTTCCATCTAGTTTTAATGTGCTCAACATTCGAACTCTCACAGTTTCCATGTGGTTGCTTATCTCAGTTTGATCCAGTTCTATATTGTCATGGCAGAATAACTATTGTGAGATTAAATGGTTCCTGAAATGATTCCCTCCTGTTCTTTCTACAGCTTTTAGTCAGTCTTCTTTCAGTTTCTTTCTCTGTCCCATTCAGAGTCTCCAGCTGCCATATCTCTTCTGATGATTATTTCCTTTCTTTTCTGTCTTGTTTTGTTTCTTCTGGGGCAGATTCTTGTACTCTTATTTGTGGTGAGTAGTGCCTTACTCTCACACAGTCTGATTTCAGTGGGACTACTTAAGGAGGAAGGTATGACTCAGTATTCGGAAAGAATCCTGCCTTCATGTCTTTCTTTCATAAATAGGAGCATAGCATAAGGCTAGCCCTAGTGTTTTGGGGAAGGTTGGTGAGATGACACTGGGCTCCCCAGTGAATGTAAGATTCATTTTTAATAATATATGTAAGTCAGAGCCTTATATCAGCCACTGTCTTTCTCTGGTGTACAAGGAGTGAGGCCTCGCTACATGTGCTGGGGTCTGTGCATAGTTGACCATGTTAGTAAATGTTTTCAGCAGTTCCCTAAATTAATCTCTGGGGCTGGGGAGGGACCCAGCTGCAAGCAAGTTTTGAATTTATTGAAATCAACTTTGGGATATTTTTAAGGGCTAAATTCAGCCCAGGTTTATGCTGGCACCAACAATCCTTCTATCGATGCAGAGGCAACATTTGTAGCTGTAGGCATCCAGCCAGTGACTGGGAATGCTAGTGCTGCAATCCCACTGTCATTCATGACGGCTCTGGCATTCCTCACCCCCAACAGCAGCAGCAAGTCAATTAGGAGTCCTACAGCCTGGTCTCCTGGCAGAGATTCATCCCCAAGGCTCCACCGGCATTTACTCGGATGAAATTGTTACTAGATTATTCCTCCCTACCCTTCCACAAAAGAGCCAATCTGTTCTAGCATACTCTGTCTTGAGGCTCATTAACCTGAACTGTTCCAGCCAGCAATAACCTTTTTTATGAGGCAGAGATATTTCCACGAGACTGGAGGCTGCTGTGAGACTTGAAGTCAAATAGCTTTTGACTTGAATTTACAACTCAAAACAACCATAACCAATCAGTGGTTCTGTTTATCTTCTTAATTCAGACATCAGGGGCTGCGGGAGGAGAGGAAAGACAAAATAATCCAAACTAAGCTGAAAGTGATGAGAGGAAGCCTGCTGAAAGGGGGGGGGGGGGACAAAAGGGACAGTTGCTCATTCAAAAGGGCCCGAGGCTCTCGGCCACTGCCTCTGCTACTATGGCAGAGAGCAGAGTCCTGGGCCCTTTAAATCACCACGTGGTACACTCCAGGCAGCACTAAAGGTCGGGGAGGGGGGAGGGGAGGAAGGAGAGGGAAGGTGTGGCACACTCCAGGTGGTGGTGCCTTGAGTTGGCTGCCCCAACCCCTTCTGCTAGAGTCCCAACGTGGTACACTCCAGGCAGCACTAAAGGTCGGGGAGGGGGGAGGGGAGGAAGGAGAGGGAAGGTGTGGCACACTCCAGGTGGTGGTGCCTTGAGTTGGCTGCCCCAACCCCTTCTGCTAGAGTCCCATCTGGGAGCCTGGAGCTGGGACCCACATTCCTTTCCCAGAGGCCCGGTAGGGCTGTTGGCCTCCCTGGATCAGTGTTTTCCATTAAGTCACAGATTCTCCAGAGAGCTATCCTTGAGAGAAGTGGGTGGTGTTGTTTTCATTGTACACTCAAGGTTTGCTCTTTCTGACCCCTCCTCAGATGGGAAATCGGGAAATGGAGCTCCTGTAGTCTCACCTGTGGAGTTGGACTGCAGACTCGAGATGTCTTCTGCTCTCACCTCCTCTCAAGAGAGACAAATGAGACGATTATTTCAGCAGATGAGCTGTGTCATAAACCCAAGCCTTCCCTAGTGCAAGCCTGCAATCGTTTTGACTGCCCACCATCCTGGTACTCTACTGAATGGCAACAGGTGAGAGTATGCACCTAATCCATTTTATCCCATTTAATGCTCATAAAATAGACTGGCCTAGTTTAGTCAGTGACACACTGTAATTGGTTTTAACTAAAGTGATTTTTATTAATTTTAATTAAGATTTTCAAGAATAAATTATTAACTGTTACTATATGACTGAATCAACTTCAGATCCAAAAGGATCATAAATCAGAGTTATGAGTAATAATAAAAGACGCTACCATAACTTAGCTGTCATGCAAAGGCCCGTAGGGATCTGGAGCTATAAAGAAACAGGATTGATACATGATGAGGGGGAGGAGAAAATGGATTAGAACAAGTTGGTGGGCACTCCTTGAAAAGTAAAGAAATATTTTAGTTGTGGAAGGATTTTTCCACTAACTAGTAAGGGTTGGATTTTCAAAGGCACAAATGACAGTTGAGACATTTCAGTCATAGTGACTTTCAGTGGGAGTTGGGTGCCTAGTTGCCATCTGTCTAAAAATCTCTTTCTAAATTGTGTTTTACTTTGGGTCAATACAGTCACTCTGTGCTTTTGGAAGCCAATTGGAAGATTTATTTTAGATCACAACTTAAAATGAGCTGGTTGCCATCTAGATGCAAAAGAAGCGTCGTGACGCAACTGAGAGTGATTGAGTTAGATGTAATCCTGCACAGCGAGAGGTCTTATGGGTCAGGACTAACAGTGAAAATCATTACCCAACAGAGAGGCCAGAAAAAGGACCACTGCACCACTTATCTCTCATTTAAACCTTCAGAATATGTAAGTGCTGCTGGCCCTCTGTACATGGGTTAATTTCACCCAATAGGAAATGAGTGGAAGTTTTGCCGAGTACTTTCCCCATGCTATATCTAGCTCCACATGGAATGTATGCCACCTATTTTAAAGCCATTTGAGCTAGATGGCATGTTAATATGTTCACCTAGAGGTGCTATTAGCTTGTACAGTAGTAATTCATGAGTGAACTCAGGGTTTAAGCAGCCATCTTTACAACAAATCTCTATTCAGTGTGTTGTTTTGCCAAAATTTTACAGCATTAGTCCTTCATTTCCCTGTAAAAAGACTCCATGCTATCTATACATTTAAAATATTAAAGAATATTATACACATGTATTTTAAAATGTGTCTTTCCCAAACCCTTCTGTGACAGGGTGGACTGGACCCTGAGACCCTCTGCTGGAGGCCTTGTGGTCTGTGACACCCTGCTCTAGAAAAGGATGGTAGAGAGGAGTCCTATAATCAACCTGTTGTGTCACAGGGGCTGTAATATCTTCCAGTGATGAAATAGCAAAGACTTGGCAGTTTTCATGGAAATAAATTGGGCTGTTTTCCCTGACTGGGAATTAAACCCAGGCCACAGCAGTGAGAGTGCTGAATCCTAGCCACTAGACCACCAGGGAGACATAGTAAGGCCTCCTTCCTGCCTAGAGAACTATGTGGGAAGCAGCCAATCAGGAGCCAACAGGTCGGTATAAGAAGTTGCAGGCCAGAGCAAGAGGAAAGCAGATGGTGTTCTAAATTGGCTGCTGGGACATGGCCCCAAAGTAAGGATGAAGAATGTGCGGGATTCATGGGGATGTGCCCCAGGGAATTATAGCAGCAGTGCAATTATTTAAAGGGACATTGCAGACAGCTTCTATCTACATGTCCCTGGGCTGAGCCTTGATTCTTCCACACACCCTTTAGCCACTGGAAGGGAAGAGGCCTGGATTCTGAGGGTATGTCTAGACTACGTGCCTCTGCCAACAGAGGCATGTAAATTAGACATACCGACATAGTCAATGAAGCGGGGATTTAAATATCCCCCGCTTCATTAAAATAAAAATGGCCACTGCGCTGTGCCGGCTCAGCTGATTGTCGGCACAGCGCAGCAGTCAAGACACGGATCAGTCGACAGCGAATGC